GGGGTTGGCTTCTTGCTGAAGTCAATCTGTGGCATTGATGCAAAGTTGGTTCTGTTCACAGCAGCTGACGAAGTCATCGATGACCCCTCCTGTATTCCAGTTTGTTTCCCTTTGACACCTGGCCCACAATGGCGGTGTCGTTTGAGAACTTCTGGAGATGGCAAGTGTCCGTGTTATAACTGAAATCTGCAGCGTACAGGGTGAAGAGGAAAGGGGCGAGTACTGTTCCTTGTGGACCCGGTGCTACAGACCTCAGACACACAGTCCTGCAGCCTCACATGCTGGGGTCTAACCCACTGCAGCTTCCCCCTTAGCACCGAGGGTTGGGTTGTGTTGAAGGCGTGGGAGAAATAAAAAAAACATGACTCTCACAGTGCACCTGGTGCTCTCCAGATGAGAGAAGGCCCAATGCAGCAGGTAGATGATGTTCGGCTGGTAGGCAAACTGCAGCGGGTCCAGGTCTCTCCCGACTAATGGGCGAAGATGGTGTAGTATGATCCTCTCCATGGTCTTCATCAGGTGTGAAGTCAGTGCAACGGGTCTGAAGTGGTTCGGCTCCTTGGGGTGCGTTGTCTTTGGGACCACGCAGGAGGTCTTCCACAGAATGGGGACCCTCTCCAGACAGAGACTGAGGTTAAAGGTGTATGTGATAGCCTCATAAAGTTGATCTGCACAGTCCCTCAAAAGTCTGGAGCTGATTCCATCCGGACCGTGGCCAACCTGGTTTTCATCTTCCTCAGCTGACTCTCTGTTCATTTCCTCTCTGTTTCCAGATCTGAAAGCCCTCCAAAAATTGTGGCATAGGCACACTTTTTTCAGGTCATCTCTGAATACGCCTATGATTCAGAAGTTCATTCATGAGGATGATTGCAATTGGGTTGCTGGTGAGACCTGTTTACAGTGTAGGAGGTGCTCCAGGCATCCACAGGATTTTCTCTCTGCTGTCCAGCAGAAAGCTGTGGGGTTGCTGGACCTGATTAAAGAAAGCTGGCTAAGGATACGATTCAATACATCCTGGACCTGAGAGCAAAGCTGCACACATTGGGAAGGTTATGACCTTTAGTGGTCACGTGGCAAGTGGGTGAGGTAGACTATGAGTTGGTGCGGTGAAACAGAGGTGGAGCCACACAGGTATTTCACCTCAATCTCCTAGAAACATGGAGAGATGCTGAGAGGCTTCTCTGATGAGTCTGAAGGAGAGAGATTAGTTTTGGCCAGAGGTGCCAAATTCAATCATTCCCGTCTTCCTCCATTGTGATGACCATCTCACACAGGTCCAGAGAGCAGATGTTGCTACACTGCAACAGGAGTTTGTAGATGTGTTCCCCCCTGCCCAGCCATATGATTCCCATGGAGTGCCACTTTGAAACACAGCCTGGTGTGACCCTGCGTTCACAACCTTACAGGTTACCTGAGCACAAGAGACAAATGGTTCAAAAGGAGTTGGCTGAAATGCTAAAGCTGGGAGTAATAGAAGAGTCACACAGCACGTGGTGTAGCCCCATTGTTTTTGGAGTAAAGGAAGATGGGGGTATATGGTTCTGTGTTGAATATCGCAAGGTGAATGAGATCTCACAGTTTGATGCCACGGGTCGACGAGCTCCTGGACTGGTTAGGCACTGCTCATTTTTTGTTACAATGCTCGATTTAACCAAGGGCTACTGGCAGATTCCCTTGTCTGTAGAGTCTTAGACACTTCCGTTCGGCTTGTGTCAGATCCCCAGCGCCTCATGGACTGCATGCTGTGTCCACAAGCTACATATACTGCTTCTACCTAGATGATGTTGTCATCCACAGTGAGACCTGGGTGGAGCATGTGCAGTGGGTGGCAGGGGAGACTGGCTTTCGCAGCCGGTGAGCATCTTCTAATCATGCCTTCCCTATTTCAGTAGTGGCCATGCCGGAAAGGAAAAAGGAGTTGTGATAGTGTATTACACAGACAGATTTTATCTCATCAGTCCAAAAAATATTTTCCCAAAAGACTAATCAAGAAGTTTTGTGGGCTAATGTGAAATGAAACTTTGTGCTCTTTTTGTCAGCAGTACATCACAAAGTTTGGACAGCTGATGTGTGACCTTTTTCTATATTCTAGTGGTAGATAAATAGTAATAATAGTGGTAGATGAACATTTGACTCTAAAATGTATGTTTCAGGGTTCCTGGGTTGTTGCTCCAGTGTTTTCAGTTTGTTTATGTTCACTGTTTGTAGTCCATGTGTTTCCTGTCTTAGTGTGGTAACCTTCTGTCTATGTGCATTATGTCTAGTTCCACGTCCTGTTGTGATTAGTTACATTAAGTTCAGCTGTGTGCTCAACACTCTCTTATCATCATTAGCCCGTGTATTTAAGTCCTCAGTTTCCCTCAGTTCCTTGTCTTGTCATTGTAGTTGTCAGCTCCACATGTGTATTTCAGTTCAGTTTGTCCCTGCTTCGTCTCCGCTGCCAGACGTTTCCGCACCTGCTGGTCCTGCTTCATCTCCACCACCCACAGCTCCCACGCCATCGCCTGTAGCTCCTCCACCCGCGACTCCCACATCGTCACCTGCAGCTCCTCTACCCGCAGCTCCCACGCCATCGCCTGCAGGAGCCACCTCGTCTGGTCCTGCATGCCAGCCACCTGCCAAGCTGCCCAACAGCCTCCATTCACAGCTTGCCCTGTGTCACTGCCATTTTCTATGCGGGCCGTCCTCTGTATCGGCTCTAGCGCTGCTGTTGGCCATGGGGCTGCCCGACTGAACTGATTCATCTCAGCTTCTGGCCACGTGGCAAACCATTCCTTCCTTCCTTCTTTCTCATCATGCAGAAAGTAACAAATAATCTGCCAAGTGTGTGTGTCTAACTAGAAGCAATAGCGTTTGAAAGACACCATTGATCTGTTATTTATATTTGGTCCACATAGTGTGGAGGGTTAATAGCACTACTATGAGAGCGTACAATGGACAATAAATCATTTTCGTTTCAACAAATGGGCTATAAGAAATGTACAAATTAGTTACTTGGCAATGGGGAAGGTGTAATATAATTAGCTCACAAATTAGCCTATAATTACCGCATTTGCCTAATTATAGGCCAACTTCCAACCTTCCTTTTATTTAAAAAATTGTGAAAGAGTAGTGGTAAAACAGCTAACTTATCATCTGAAGAGGAATGGTTTATTTGAAGAGTTTTTTCCTATCTGTGCTAGGATCAATTATGTTTCCATTATATATTGTTCTCTTACACAACATCAATAAAAGGCATAGCATACATTTACACTCCTATGCAGGTACCCAGCTTTATCTAGCCACAAACCAGATGATACACATCAATTAGTTAAACTATAGGACTGCCTTAAGAAACAAAGGCCTGGATGATCTCTAATGCTTCTAAATTCATATAAAACTAAAACTAAATATCTTTGAATTTTTGAACATATTCACAATGTTTCTAAATTAGAAACACCCTTTTCTCAGGGTGATCCTGAAAAACTTGGTCAGGCAAGGTTAGACTTCTTGACTACTGGAATTCATTATTATCAGGCTGTCCTAAAGACTCCTTTAAAAGCCTTCAGTTGATCCAAAACACTGCAGAAAGAGTAGGGGATGAGAACTAGAAATGGAGAGCATATTTCTCCCACACTGACTTCTTTCAATGGTTCCCTGTTAAATCCAGAATCGAATTTAAAATCTTATTCTAAAGACGTCATATTAGTGTATTACCCCAATAGAGCATTTAGCGCTCACACTGCTGGTTTACTTGTGGTTATTAGGATAATTAAAAGTAGAATAATAGTCAGTGGAACCAGCTCCCACTTTGGATTTGGTAGACAGACTTTTTCGATTAGGTTTAAAATTTTTCTTTTTGACAGATCATAAAGTTAGGACTAGATCAGGTGAACATGAACTCTCCCTTAGTTATGCTGCAGTAGCTCTAGGCTACTTAGATACCATTAATTGCTGCCTCTCTTCCAAAGCATGTCTTTTGTCTTCCCCACTCTCATCCCCTATGGTCGTGGCAGATGGCTGCCCCTTCATGAGCTGGGTTCTGCTACAGGTTTCTTCCTGCTTAAAAGCAAGTTTTTCCTTCCCACTGTCACACTGTCCTTTAAAAAGACTAAAGCTTCTGTGGAGATCAGGGAAATACTTTACTGCTACTATTCATAACCATCATCATTACCATTACATTAATTATCATTTCATCAAAGCATTTATTCAATAGATTACACATGTTCTTAGTTAAAATTATTACACCTATCACAGAGAGCTTCTGTCTGGTAAAAGGTTAGAAGCGCCAACGGGCTGGGTGAGGCTGAGTGCGTTGGAGGTCGAAACATACACACACAAACAGTAGTTAGACTCATATTTAGGTAAGAGTTCAAATAATAGTTTGCAAAAGTTTGTGACTGCAAAATTGTGTCTGCCTAAGGGACAGTTTGTTCCAGGAGATCGAGAGTTAGAAGATTAATAGGAAGCACTTGGCCTCGAGACGGAGAAGATGTCCTTTTAAATGTGTCAAAAGTCGTCAACAGAACATTTGT